TGGTTCAGTTGTAGTTTTTATGGTTCAGTTGTAGTTTCTATGGTTCAGTTGTAGTTCATATTGCTCACTTGTGGTTCCTATGGTTCAGTTGTAGTTTCAATTGGAAGAAAGACAAAAACAGAAACATGTTAATGATGGAAATGATTACAAAAACAAACAAGAACAGCAGGGTGAGTCAGTGTCCTCCAGCAGTCTAAGCCTATAGCAGCATAACTAAGGGATAGCCAAGAAAACCCAAGCCAACCCTAACTATAGGATTTACCTAAAAGGAAAGTCTTAAGGCCGATCTTAAAACTGGACAATGTGTCAGCCTCATGGACAGAAACTGGAAGTTGGTTCCACAAGAGAGGAGCCTGATAACTGAAAGATCTTCCTCCCATTCTGCTTTTGGAAACTCTAGGAACCACGAGGTGTCCTGCAGTCTGAGAGCAAAGTGCTCTGTTAGGAAAATATGGAACAATAAGATCTCAAATATAAGATGGCGCTAGGTTGTTGAGAGCTTTGTAGGTTAGAAGTAAGATTTTGAATTTCAGTTCTGGATTTGACAGGGAGCCAATGGAGAGAAGCTCAAACTGGAAAGATATGATCTCTCCCACTAACTCCAGTTAAGACTCTGGCAGCAGCATTTTGGATCAACTGAAGGCGTTTTAAAGTATTTGGACACCCAGAGAATAAACCATTACAATAGTCCAATCTAGACATGATTAAGAAACATACAAAAATTCAGTTTACACAGAGATTTTTAAACATAATTAGAAAAGTTTATACAGAAAGTTGGTCTGTCCATAACTGAACTGACATGTTGATACATTTTGGATTGTAGACAATCACATTTAAATAAGGTTTAAATGATTTTTAAGCTTTTATTGCAAAAAGTTCAACTTGGAGAGCTGTCAACTTCCTGTTGTTATTCTCATTCACTCTGTTTTTAATTTATTCAGACACATTAGTTTTCTTCACTCTGTGTCTCTCTTGACTTTAGGATGTAAAGTTTTCTCTTAATTTCCCCTTCGGAGCGCAGAGTTCACATCCAAACTCCCACTGACTTCCATTGTTTCAACTCAAACCATAAGAGAAAACTTTCTTTAATCGTGTCGTTTCATCTACTGGCATAAATGTTTACATGTGACAATCAGACGCTTCTGTCGCTTATAGTTCAAAAATATACGACTTCCTTTTACTCTTGACTGACTGACTGAAGGCCAAACAGGAAGTAGAACCAGCTGGACTGTGTGAAGGATGTTGGTCTATAAAATAAAACAGGAAACAAGGTAATCTGAGGGGCCGCTGATTGAGACGGAGGAGGACTGAGGGAGGGGCTGGTACACTAGGACAAACCTAGAAACTAAGAGATGATTAAGAAATGATCCAAAACTCATCATGTAAGGTTCTTATAAACCCAAACAATTGGTCCAATACCAGTAAAACAATTCTTAAATGCTAACACTGACGCCTGGGTTCACTTCCTCCTCTTAGACTGTTCAAAACAAAACTTGGCTCCACTGATACGGTTTAATGTCTGTGGAGTAAAATACACTTCTGTGTATGAAGTGAAGGCTGCCAGACATTTCTGATCAGTGCTTACCTTCATCATCGTCATGGGCCCTCGTCACCACCAGGCCCGTTCTGTTTGCTTTGTGCACAATACTCCAACCTTTTCTTTTCGTAATCCCCCAGCAATATTCAGCTCCGGAGAGAGAATCAATAATCATTCAGAGGTCCGTTCTCTGATGGAGTGAGTGTGAGATCAGTGTGACGGCCACAAACACCAGAGACTCTGGAAGTCAGGGAAAACCTGGAAAACGACTTCCACATTCTTCAGACTCGAGGAAAACTCAAGGAATTTAAGGAAAATATCAAAAGTCTGGGAAAACTCGGGGGTTTGAACTCTGATCTGCTGATTAAAAGATGATCTGATATTTAGACGTGTTCATGTATTAATGTCAGTAATCTGGTTTCAGTGAGTCCATGTTCTGCTGCTGCAGAGTACACAATACATGAGTTCTTACTGACTGACCACAGTGGCTTTTTAATATCTCGTCTTATAATGAATTAATCAGAATGAGTGCTGCATGCACGTATCGTAGGCTACACTTTGCTTCCTGTCATCTCTGAATGTGAGGCTGATTTCTGGAAACTCAGCAGTCTAAAGGAAGTTATTGTGTTTGGTGTGACTGAAATGTCTCCTGGAAATTCAGGACTCAGAGAATTTGTCTTCATGAAACGCTGTGACCCCTGAGCACAGCCACCGGCCGCTGGGAGCAGAGACGAGGAGAGCTCTCGTAAAACAGGCCGTCGATACATCGCTCATTTAAATACCAGTCTTGAATTAAATACCAGTCAAACATGTCCAATGGTTTCTTAGATATTTTGCTAACAGACAGAGAAATTTAGATATACGTGTAGCATTTCCCTGGTGTGGATGGGTGTTGTGGGGTGTTTAGCAGCCTTGTTGCTGTAGGGATGAAGCTTCTGTACCAGCCGTCTCCAATCAGAACCCAGTTTAGCTTGTGACAGAAGCAGCAGGTTGGACTCCAGACCTGTTGCTGTGAGGAAACATCAGACCACATCATGTCATCCTTCTACCTCTGAGCTGCAAACTGAAGTGTGGGACTGATTATTGATGGTCCGACCTCAGCTTGGGTCTGGATAATGACGGGGTTCTGCAGAACTCCCCGTCTCTGAGTGGTTGTGTCCTGTGTTGTGATGCCCCCCACCCCCCACCTCCATGTGTGTCTGTAATCAGTGCTGGATGGCTCATTATGAACTGCAGCGGGCCACTCGTGTGACATGGAAGAGGGAGAAATTAGCAGCTGTCATCCAGTGATGAGTTCATTTCCTGACAGGCCTCTGCTCTGCTGCAGACGGCTGATGGAAACCTGCCGCCGGAGCTTAATTGGACAGCCAGAAGAGGGATCAGGAGGAGGAAGCGTCTAAATGTTAAACTAAAATCATTCTTTTTGTCACAGAAAATGAAAGCAAAGATCTGAGACGCTTTAATGATGCTTTTTATTTAATGTTCCAA